ATTTTTACATGGTTTAGTTTACACTTAACATTTTTTTGGGTTTGTTTTCTTTTCCCTATTTTGCGAATTCCAAGTAATTCCTAATTATTAGTGCTGCCTACTCGCCGTACTATTTGCCTTATCCTTCGCTTAAACACAGGAATTATCTACCCTAAGATTAAATAAAACTGGTGTTTTATTTTTCTTAAGGCTTTTATTGTCTACCTCACAGCATGTTGTCTATGATGGCTTTATAAATTTCAAATTTAATGCAAACTAAACTCGAACTTCAAGGACATTAAATATTTGATTTATCCTAAAAAGTTGCCTCCTTTTCTCTAATATCTCTTACAACACAATAATTTCAAAACTTATAAGTTATTATTTTAATATATTTCAATCAATAAGTAAAAGGTGTTAATTACTGATGTTTGATCATTTCTAATTTTCTAATAATAATTTTTAAATACAAACATATATGGAAATATATTCTTGATTTGATTAAATCTAATATCAACTTATGAGCTAATTATTAAACTGATTTCATTAAAAAAGATCTTTGTGCACTGAGACTACAGATGGGTCTACTGTGACCCTACTGGAGCCATATATATATATTCTTGGCTTGATAAAATATAATTTCAACTTATGAGCTAATTATTAAACTGATTTAATTGAAAAAGGTTCAAGGCAGCTAAAGATTTTTATGCAGTGAGATTACAAATGGGTCTACTGTGGCACTACTGGAGTTCATTGCAATACTATATTTCGCTAGAAATTGTATTCACTGTTAACATTCTATTCGTGATTAACTAAATAACCATTGATTTTAAACATTGTTAACCATTGATTTGTGATCCACGATTTCACTCACTAATGCAAATTTCTAAATAATTTTTAACCAGAAAGATATATAATATAAAAATTTAAAAAAATTAGCAATACATACTGTTAAGTTTCAGGACATAATTAAATTTTAATAGTAAAAATAAAAAACAGTATTTGAGTTATGTTGTAGTGGAGATAAGTACAGATCTCCAGATAGATATGAATCACTAATCTCTGCTAATAGTACAACAACATTTGTAATTTATTTTTAATTTATTATTTATTTTTAATTTATTTTTAAGTTATACTGACTAACAATTTAAGATGTTATATGAACCAGGTGTTACATAAATATATTATTTAATATTAAGAAAGGGATAATCGAAGTATACTTTGATATTCTATATAGATCAACTAAAGGATTTGATTACTGAACTATAAGATTTGAAATATTAATAATTTACAACTGATAAAATCAAATATCTTTGTAATTGTATTTGCTTTATAAAAAAAAACGAAGAGAGAGAGAGTTTACTATAGTGTAATATTGGATCCCAATGTTATGGGTATTAAACGATACCTACATATCTCACAAAATGAAATATTGTGGTATATGACATTTGTTATACTCTATAATTTACAATTTTAATCAAGTATAGTGTGTCACATTAAGGTTATTGTAATAGTAACCAAGACAATATTATTATCTCTAAATGAAGTATTATTATCATTAGACTAGGCTTAAATAAGTAATTCAAAACTCTATTTATACTACCAGTATATTCAAACATTTTTCAAACAAAATCACTGATATTTATATATTTTTCTGAACAGCAGTTTAAAAGGCAGTATTTGTATCGTAAAAGAAATGTTTTCGATCAACTGACTTTAACTGTTCACAAAACTAAGTACAAAAAAAAAACAAACAAGTAATAGTAATAAAAACTAAGTCCGAATGAAATGAAGACTATAGGAGTCTCACGCCATCATATTATACTGTAAAAAGATGGATGATTAAATGTAAACAAACTCGTATCAGATTAGCTGTAACGTTAAGATTGTTAAACTGCAGATTTAAACTTTCACTGACAACCACACTAAAATATTCCAAAAAATAAATTGGCTGATCGTTGAATAAAAATCAATAAATTTTCTGAGACTGTGAGACATTTATTGACCACATTTAAAAAAAAAAATATTGCATTCTATATAATGAAGCTATAAACGCATTGGATCCCGCTCCATCAATGCCGCGTTTACTGATTTTAGACCAAAAATATGTGATGGTCAAATTTTTACACACAGTCTTAATAGCTGATAAAACGTCGATTCACCACTATAACCTGAAAACTAAAAAATTATCACTTTGGTGGATTGAAGTATTGAAAAATGTTTGATAAACGCTAAAACTATGCTGGCAGCCACGAAAGTCATAGCTATTATTGTTCAGTACTATTATGAGAAGGCCATATTGCTGATTTATTATCTCTAAAAGGGGCCTACAATTACTGGAACATAAATTACTGCATAAATTAAATGTCGTTATTATCGAAAGAGAAACATTTATAAATGATCAAGTTTTATTTCACTGAGACAATTTAAGGCTTGCACTTTACTGTAGTTAAAATTTACTAAGTGCATTTTGAATTGATGAACTATTTCTTTCATTCACCAGATGTGATCTTTAGTGAATATTTTTTGTTTGCAAAATTAAAGATTTAACTCGAAGGACAAATATTTTCACCTTGTCACTACAAATTTTGTTACTTCTTATAATATCTGTAGGAGTAAGACATTAAGTATTGATCCTAATATATTACAAAAAAAAACTTCTCCAATTGAAAGCAGTTTTATTGAACGTCTTGTATGTAGAACATTTGTTAAGACAGTTTTTTTTCATTATGTCGAATAACTTAAATTATTTTGAGTATATACCCCACTTAAATGAACAACAGTTGTTTGGCTCACTAAAAGTATTTGCTTCAGAGAGTTCCTACTGTAACTGATTAAATGCATAAAATAGTTTAATTGGAAGAAAATATAGATTATAATATCATAAACTCTTATTATTTAAATCAATTTCGTTAAAATAATAAAATTTTTATAATTGGAATGCCTTATTAGACACAAATTTAATATTATTTATTTATCCACATATTATTAAAATACTAAACAATATTTAGAAAATTTTATAAGCTTTGCATTTAAAAATTTTAATTATTCTTGATATTGTTATCTAATTATCGTTAATAAATTTAAATAATTCTAACGGATTTTATTTGAAATCCCTATAAGTTAGAGATTAATTTGTTAACTGATTTCCTCAAAAATTATCGCCTAGCGTTATTATAAACTTTCACGTTTTTATTTAATCTTTATATTATTTATAAAACAAGTTTTTTTATTTTTATTATAACAATTATTATATAATCTATATCATTTTTCTAAATTATTACATAATGAATTAAAACATACCTCTTTAATCATTTCTACGTTCTTCCGGATCCAGAGGTGATCATTTATCTGATATTTAAAAAAAAATATATTTTTTAAATAATTTTTATTTAGAAATATTTTTAAATACACAATTTTCTTGTTAACAGCAATTGGCATTACGTATCATTAAAATTGTTAAAATTTTATTCTCGAGAAAACTGTAATAATAACGTATTAGGCCCGTTTCACACTTACCGGTTTTTGCGGGACTGCTACGGTATATATTCCAAAATTTTTATAGAATATGTATTTCAGCAGCACTTAATGAAGAAAACCTTTTTATTATAAGGAATAACATTTAATAATCACATTTAGAAATTTACAATTAATTTCAACGTATAAAATATTAAACATTTATAAATTTATTAATTTAGTTAACTTAATATCTTTAATTTTTGGTTGATCTGATCAACGGCTGATTAGTACCGTTACTCTTCTTGTAGTGTTGTAAAGAAAGCCGATTTGGTATATAAGTTGACATTTTTAAAACCAATTATAAAAAGAGCAGATCATAGCAAATCAATTATTTTCGGATAAATAATTTTTACAATGGTTTGCAATATTGTTAATTACAAATTAGAACAAAAGTGAAACGCTGAGGAGCATTTTACGATTTTATTAAACATATAAAATTAAAGTTACACACTTTCAATAAATATATTTTCTTTCAGCAATAAATACTGGATTACTGCAAATATATATAAATATTTTAACAATAGTAATGTGGTGATTTTGTCAATGATAAACGTTGGAACAGCAATAATCTTAAAATTAAAACCAATTCCCATAAATCTTATTATGCGCACACCACCATTATGCGCCGAATACATTTACTGATTTATTTTTTAATTTTTTAATATATTTATTTTTCTTATATTGTTATTAATATACCATTTCACCTAATTTGGCTTACTTTTTTGATTATCATAATATTTTCAAATTATTGAACCGAATGTAATAATAACTGAGGTGAATGCAATAACTAATGCCATAATAGCGTTATATTTAAAATTACTAAAAAATGAAATATATAAAATAAAAAATTAAAAAACTAACGAAATTTTATTTATTTAATTTTATATATAATTTATACCTCGCTTATACTTACAGTTATTGAACCTCAAAAACATAATTTTTATGTAAACTTTGTATGACATTGTATAAATTTTGCATTGAGAATGTCAATTAATGTTATATATATGTAAAGTTAATTAAAATAGTATAAACGTAGTTTATAAACGTAATTTACAAATTAGAATAGAGCATTTGAAATTTCCTTTGGCGAAGATGGCAATGTATTCCGCATGCACATGGAGATTAGCATTAGTGCAGTATGAAATAAATACGTAGCAGAACTTTACATATCTATAATCATATATAAAGTACAGTATTAAACATTAGCAAGAAAATATATATGTGACTTTTTTCAACTTGATTTAATGCAAATTATAACTGAATCGTGATTTTGGCTATCGGATGACAAAAGTTGTAAACGAACCAAATTTCAATTAAAATTACTACTGTCATATGGATAGGTAATATGTACAAACGCATGTCCGAAAATTTTTTCAAATTTTAGTTGTGTAAATGTCCAACACTAATATCGAAACATTTTCGGAGTGTTCGAAATGCAACCCTGATTTTATTTGAGTTTACGAAATGTAAACAAAAACAAACTACAAAGAAGGATATATTATTTCCAAGAGAACAATACAAATAACAAAAAGCATTTAAGAATTCAATTTAGTTTAATAAAAGTAACAAATTAAAAAAATAAATAAAAATGTCTTGCATACTATGTCTAGTTGAATCATCCGATCATATTGTTCTTTTATCGCCCGAAGGAATTACACAACAAATCGAGCTATTAATGAAAAAATATATGAATTTTGAGGTATTTCAAAAGGCTACAGATATAATAATGTTTAAAAAATTATTATAATTTTAGCAATTTGTTACAACTGATAAACACAGTTATATATGCATTCAATGCTGGCAGGCAATTACGGCGTTTCATGAATTTTACACACGTATAGAATCCATACATAACATCTTGAAAGACTCAAAAATTGAATGTGATGAACCAATAGAATCAGAAAAGATACAACCCATAGATTATGTATACATTAAAGAAGAACATCATGAAGATTCGGATAGTATTAACTATGAAGAAAAAAATCCATTAACGTACGACTCGCAAGCCAAAGCACACAATACAACGGATACTAATATAGCTGTCATTAAAAAAACTGCATGCAGAAAATCTACAAGGAAATCTGTACCAATGAAATTAACACCAATTAATGTCGAAAAGCTTATTTCAAAAGAGAGAATAATTACAAACGAAATGATTACTTCTGTAGACAACGTAGACAAAATTTCTACAAAAAATAATGAAAACGTAACAAATAAAAAAAATGATAACATCACCAATATGTTTAATGTTTGCGAAGCTTCACACTTAAATACATCTGAACTAGAATCAAATTATGATATAAATTTAGTACACAAAGACAAAACAACAAAAGCATGTAAAAAAGCGGATAAAGTAGATGATTTTATAAATGCAAATTTTACTCTAACTTGTAGTCTTTGTACCGTACAATGCCGTACATTTGCTCTTCTCAAAGGACATTTTAGGAAAACACACAATTGCCAAGGATACGTTCTGTGTTGTGAAAAAAAATTTCCAAAACGTTGCCTTCTCGTCGATCACATAAATGTACATAAAAATTCTGATTACTTTAAATGTGATGATTGTAAAAAAAGTTTTGCAAGTCGGTACTGTCTGGAAATTCACTCAAGAGTGCATAAAAGCCGTCCACGAATCTACAAATGCAACAATTGTTCCAAGAGTTTTTTCAGTCAACCTGTGTATATGCGTCATATGCATTTGCATGCCACAGATGAAGAAAAGAAATTCTCCTGTGCAGAATGTGGTGAAAGGTATACTGCTAAAAACAATCTTTTCCATTTATATTGAATAAATTAATTTTAATTTTCTTTAAATAAAATATAGATTTTTTTCAAAATATAATATGGAACAGCATTTAAAATGTGTACATACTGATTTACATGTTCAAGTATGTGAGCATTGTGGAAAATCTATAAGAGGGCTCGGAACTTTACGACAACATATGGAATTGCACATTTATAAAAATTCACCTATACAATGCAAAGAATGTGGTATTAAAGTTACTACAAAATACGGATTAACAAGACATATAAGAAAAATTCACTCTATTGAAAATAATCAAAAAACAACTTGTGATATATGCTTTAAAGTATTTCAATTATATTAAAAAATTTTAATAATATACTAAAGTTTTTATTTTTTTTTTGTTTTAGGTATCTCCTAGTATATCTGCACATAAATATCATATGGACTATATGCACAAGGCAAAACGTAAACATATATGCAATATATGCGACAAAGCATTTAAAAGAGCAATTACTTTAAAGGTTTTAATACTTATATTAATTATTATACTCAAAGCTTATAGTTTTTTATTTTAAATAGAAACATCAATATTGCTAACCATATAGATGTTTCAAATTAAATATCTATCATAATTGGTCTTTGAAAGTATTGTTAATTTATTACTGGTGTTATGTAGTATATTGCAAATTGACAAGGTGCAATATCTGCTATTTATTTAGCAACATTTCAAACAAGTAATGGCCAGAAAAACTGCTGGTATAATTTAAAAGTGATTTTAAATCACTTTTATTTGAATTATAGACAACATTCGTCAAGTAAAAATACTTAATTGAGTTTTGTTTATCTCCAAATATTCATTATCGGTGGTCTTTAAAAGTATTGTTAGTTTCACTATCTACATGTAATAGATTTCAAATTAACTGAAGTCAATCCCTATCACTGATTTAACAATATAAATAAAATAGCAACTAAAAGTAAGACCAAAATTGAATAAAATAATTTATTTTTTCTCCATTGTAATGCAGAGACTTCTTTTATTAAATAAAAAGTACTCATCAAATGTTTGTTTTCTATTTCAGGAACATATGACAACACATAATGGTGGTACGCTTTACACATGTTCACATTGCCCCAAAACATTTAATTCCAGAGCTAATATGTATTCACATAGAAAAAAAGTACATAGAGAAGAGTGGGAGCAAATGCATTTAGAAAAATCAAATCAGTCATCAGTCATTAACAAACAGATATAAAAAAAAACAAAATATAAAAAGATGGATTGTATTGAAATAAGTTTTGGAAAATATTTATAGATTTTATAAAATTTGTGACGATGGTCTGATGGAGAAAGCGACGAAAGTTTGTAAATTTGGAAACTTTAAAAATAAACGTTCTACAATTTAAACGTTAAGAAACCACTTAAATTTTTTTTAAGAAGTAACCAAAAAAGCTTAGAATTTGAAATTAAATGACAAATTCTACTCATAGAATTAATTTGAAAGCTACGAAGTTTTTGACGATGAAGTAATTTTATAATATAAACTTTCTACAATATAATAATGTTTTATCTAATGTTGCACTTTCTGATTACAACTGTTAATGTTTGAATATTATTAAACCTCAGAACGAACCAGTAGTAGTTGAGAACACCTACTATAAAAATGCTCTTGAAACTCCGAATAAAGCTCAAAAACGTTCTTAATCGATATTTTTTTTTTGGTAAACAACGAAACTTTGATGGAAGGATTGGATCAATCTTGATAGTCGTATTAATGTAGAAGTTTTTGGAAATAATCTTTTTACCTTTTTGATAAACGACGAAACTTCGATTAAAGGAATAAACTGATCTTAATAGTCGTAGTATTCAGGTACTGGAAAAGATCTGGAAAAACTTAATTTTACCGTTTTGATAATTGATGAAACTTTGAATGAAATAATGAACAGATCTGGATCATAATATTATGTTCAATATTTCTGAATATGTATTAAATTGCTTTCCAATTTTAAAATCAGAATTTATTAAAGTTAATAAAGCTGGAATACAAAAAATAAAATACAAAATTATCGAACTGAATTAAAGAAACTCAATAGTGTTCAGTAAATAGCACAAGTTTTGTATATAATTTATTATGAATACTACAATTAATTTTTTTTATCTGTAATTGTTTATATTTATAATAAACTATAATTTTTGTTTTTGTAAATTTAAAGAAATAAAAAATGACTGAATAATATTTTTTCAATATTTCACGTTTAGTATTAGTACACAATTTATTACATATTATAGACTAGGTTGGTTATAAGGACTATTTTAAGAATCCAATTGGACCTATTGGCCCATTGTGTTACTATACAATAGTCGATGGTAAACCAGCTATTAGATTTTTTCTTATTTAGAAGCAGCCAACTATTTTAAGAATCCAATTGGACCTATTGGCCCATTGTGTTACTATACAATACTCGATGATAAACCAGCTATTAGATTTTTTCTTATTTAGAAGCAGCCAACTTGCGCATAGATGGCTACATATCGTTGAGGTCTCCCATCTTGTATTGAATTGCTCAATACAGAAGATATCAACTGTTTGCATGATACTTACTAATGATATGCTCAGATTTTTTAAAAGGTTCAAATGAGCTCCCGAGATCCTATTGCATAATGTAATATTTCTAATTAAAAACGTATATGACTCACTAATTTCTTGATAGTAACATCTTAATAGTTTGGGAAATAAAATAAATTCAATTTTTCTTACACCGAATAGAATAAATAAAACCTTAATATTATACTAGAACTGGGAAAAAGCATGGGCTATAATTTGTAGGCGAGCCGTAGAATCTCGATGCAAGTACCTAAGGTAGTCAAATAAATATAACCCTAATAGCATACAGGAACTAGAACTTGGTGAAAGAGCTGATCATTTCAGTTTAGTGGGTACAGACTCAAAAAATATAGTTAAAATCACCCAGAATCTAACATTTGATCTGTGATAGAACTGTTCGCTTATTTATTTTTTATTCAGATTGAGATTATTTACTAATCAAAGTAGTGATTCCTAAAATAAATAGGTTTTTTTCAAAATCCGCTCTATCTTCAAACAAGATATTCTTTCACGATCAATTTACTTTATTTTTATGACTGATCTTGACAGTTTTTTAAAAGCATTCGCTAATAATACAATGATCACAGTTAAGCCTAATAGTAGCATCCAGTTAAATTAAAAAAAAATTTTGGTAAAGCGCGACTATAAATATCGCAACTTACAGCTAACCCAAATTAAACCAGGTAACATACAACAAAAGTGAATAGCCCTGTCATTGTAAATAAGAAATAATTATCTCAAAAACTTAGTACAAAGTACCTAGAAATCTTTGCTGTCTGCAGTAGTTAAACATTTAACTGACTACATAATATATGTTTAACATTTGCTGTCTATAGTAATTAAGAAGTTAAGTATAGTAGTTAAGTATGGTTAAGATTTAAGTATGACTACTATGGTACAGCCGCATTGAAGATTCCTCCGCCTTCGCCAAGGTTAACTTCAATTAAAATCCCATCCATTATTTCATCCAATCGAATTCTTGTTCCTATAAAATACATTTATTTAACAAAACTAGACTACATCGAGAATGGTTAGTTACTATAGCCAGCGCCTTTTGCTTAACAAAATATAACTAGCCTCGACACAATAATATATTTACAATATAAAAATTATTGGTAACTAAATTGATACATAATACATAACAAATTACCAGCACATCTAAATCAGTTGTTGAAAAAATCCAACGATTATAATCACGATCAACACTGTAGAACAAGAAGTTAATTAAGGTAATGAGATATCTTGATCTCTCAAAGTAATGAGAAACGCTTAAGCCGTCCCCCGTGCAATAAGAACTGTCTAACTCAATGGAGATCAGGATATGGCCGAATGCTAAACAGTTACCTACCCAATCCACCCTTTATCCTCATTCTCCCCTCCATCACCACCAACCACTATGCATCCACTTCCCCACTCATATAATCGTCTTGTATATCGTTTCATGTTATCTGCTTAATAATCGTCTTGTATATCGTTTCATTTTATCTGTTTAATAACAACGCTTAAACCGACTTGTTAGCACCCAAACAAACACTCCTTAATCCAACCTTTTAAATATACAGAACAGAGTATCTATCTCTGAGTAGATACTCAAATAAATGAAGCAAATGAAAATTAAAACAAGAACAAATTTTTTTAGCGCTGCGGTTTGACACCAGCGCCTTTTCTTTATTTATGGTATATCCTTTTTTCACCTTTATTTAAAAGAAAAATAGATAAAAATACATTAAATTATATGTATATTCATATTCTTTGTTATATGTATATTGTTTAAAATAAAATTTACATTATACATATGAGTACCTACCTAAAAAATAACCTATTAACATATAAGAAAAAGAAAACTATATTTGCATTTAAATTGAAAAGAAACAAATTCTAGACGATATATATGAATTTTTTACCGAATTTGACAAATAAATATATGAACTTTATAAAATATATATTTTTTTTATCAATAAACATATTTTTATTGAACTCAGTAACAATAGTTTTTTCTTAATTTTTACACATTTCTATATTTATTTATATATTTAAATATTGGATTAGTCAATATTAAGGAAAAAGGATTTTATATTTTACTGAATTAGGAAAGCTCATTAATGGAATTAAGTGTTTATATGCAATGTAAATATTACTGATGTTTTGTAAAATTTTCTTTAATTACTATTGAGCTTTATAAAAATAATTGATTTTATAAAAAATAAACTTAATTAATTAAGGGAAGGCCTTTTATTAACAACAAAGAAGGTCCTTAGAGGTAATGAATTATTTTCTAATTGCAGTTAAAATAAAATTATTCGTAATTAAGTTCAAAAAATATTCTACGCTGACTCTTTGTGAACAGTTAGTATCTAAATATTGTTTAACTTATGCATATTACATTGCAAAAAAAAATATATATAAACCAAAGGAGTTTAATCTAGATATATTAAATATATATAACTTCACTAATTAGTTACTTCAGTAATTAAAATATAGCAGCATTTTATTTCAATTAATTCATTTGATATAAAATATTTTTTTGAAACCATTTCAGTTTTAATATTTTTAAATAATTAATTATAATGTTATATTATAACAAATTGGGTGGGGGTCTTTAAGTAATGAAATCATCATCTACTGAGACATATACCCAAAATCAATTAAAATTAGAAATTTTAAAAATTTTCTAGAAGTAAATAGTATTTTGTTACGGAAAATTATTAATTTTTTTTTTTTTGTTTTTTTTTATCTTATATATACTTAATATGATTTTTTTGTTGTTAAAATTACATGTTGAATTATAAAGTTTTATCATGTATATATCATTTTTATGTGCAAGGATTAAAATCTGTTAGTATTATCTAAACTTTATATTAAGATGATTTTTTTTTTCAGCTAATGTTTGGCATTTTATTACCATACTTGACTTAATATAGATCCACATTTAATTTACATCGAAGATTATTGATATTTTAAATTAACATGATATAAGTTATGTATATAAACCTACATCTAATGTGTGTATTTATGAGAGAATATGCTTGCTTTATGAAAAGTTATGCATATTTTTTAATATAATTATATACGCATATATATATAAGTATATACATATATATATAAACAAATGCATATATATATATAATTGTATTGAAGTTCAATAAAAATGTGCTTATGCCTCCATATTGAAATTTATAGTTTCAATATATGTTTTTAATATATTTTTTTTATTTATTTATTATATATAACAATTATATTTTACCCTTTATTAAGTTTTCTTTTTAAATTATCTTTGATTAAATTGATCAATTATACTCTAAAATAAAAATAGGTTTAAAGAACAACAATTATTATCGTCATCCAACAAGCGTAGACTCCCAGTGATAAACTTTGGGTTGTGTGGGTTCATTTTATATTTAGAGATGTCCGTTAGTTATATCCATGATTTTAACATTTGAAATGCAATATATATATGTATATATATGTACATATGTATAAATAAATATTTATATATAAATTCATATTTATATATATATGTATAAAATAAATATATATATATATAAAGTTTCAGTTTCTAGTCAATAATATGATGAAGTTGAATAATCCCGCCGCTTATGCATTTTTCTATTCTAAAATTGAAAAGAGTTAACAAATTTTTCGTATTGTTCGTTAATTTTTAAAAATATTAATTCTGAATTATTACAGAATTAATGTAGTGTCAAAAAAGTATTTTATGTTTCATCAAAATTATTTACAAAGTCTCTTAATTGGTGACGGAATATTTAACATATAGCACATAAAATCTAAAATTAAAAAAAAAAAATAACAGCCAAAACAATTAAAAGTCATTTAAAATTAACTTAAATCAACATATTTACGTTTTACTGTTTCAAATTCTTCATATTATCATAAAATGTCCTTAATTAACTCTCTTTAATTATTTTTTATTATTTTTATGCTGGAAATAAATATAAAATTAGAAATAAATATGGTATATTATAACATTATATATTTACCAATATTTTTTTTATTTTTTTTAAGTTATTTACTACTAATCAAAACTTCATCCTGTCAATAATTAATTTTTGGGAAAGTGTTTACTATTTGCAGTCTTATATAGCTTATATGTTGTTTTAAATCCTATATTACAAATATAAAAAAATAAACGCTATTAGTTTTAACACTGCAGTTTATTAAACGCATAACATATTATTATTTTGAGCGGAATTGTGCACTGCAACCTCAAAATATTTATGCATTTAAAGTACAATTTTATATAGTAATAATTTTTATATATAATAATAAATTCCAATTTTATGCAATATACGAGTATTTTATTAATACTCACGATCTCGATACTCTATGACCTTTTGATAGGATTACGATATTAAAAACATTAAAAGTATTACTATTTATAGGAGTAATATAGCAGTAATTTTTTCTTTTAGAGTAGGAAAAAAAATAATATTAAGTCTGGTTAATAAGAAATTGGCATTACTTTTAAAATGTGTTTTTTTTTTTTTGACATATGTTTTTTGTTATGTTGTGTGCAATATTAGGTCTGATCTACGAACTACTCGCAGTAACTTTGAGTAACACTGTGTACACACAAATGCGTTCCACCAGCAAATTTTCGAGTAAATGAGAGCATCTAAGAGAGCGTAACATCCCTGTCAAAATTTAAAAATGCTACACAGGGTTTACTCGTACATTTTATTACAAGTAAAATTTGAGTGATGGGTGAATCAGCTGTTGTGGTTTGAATTCAAATTTTCTTATGGTTTATTTGCGCGGCACTGGTGTTCTTACCAGACTTTACACAAAGCTGTTCAATGAAAATCTGTGTAAAGAGCGTAATTTAGCACTTAATTTGTGTTACACTGTCAGTTTGTACTTTACTTGTGTTTTACTCGAATTTTACTATGAGTAGCTGGTGGAACAGACCTATAATATGATACGAACTAATTTTTGAATTTGGCCGCTCTAAAACTTTAATCTTAAATTTTTTTGCGAGTAAAACCTAACTCTGAGGATTTTAAGAGCATTGTTGTTGCTTCGCATGTATTCTTTCGTAAGTTGCGAGTATTTTTTTACTAGTCTGAAGGAAAAAATTATGGCTAATATCTATTAAACAGATCCTGGTAGTAGATGATCTTTGAGTTAAGCGAAAAGATAGCAGTAACTGTGCCGAGTTCATTGAGCATTCAAATTAAATCTAAAAATTCAGTTACTACATTTACATATAATATAATAATAAAATTGTTCTAACTCAGTTAGCAGTGAAAATATATTTCACCACTTAACTTTAAGTACCGCTCACAAGAAAAGCAAATTAATCAAAAATCTATCAAATTACAAAATAATTAAAATTTACTTTTAAAAATAATTTAAATGTAAGAAATATTTTAGGGTTGCCGTCCCACCTTTATTCATCAAAATTTTTGACTAGAAATTTCTAAACACAGTTCACTTAAATGTGGATCTTGTTGAAAATTAAATTGCATTTTTAAATAAAATAATTGCTATTTTTATTTCATAAATACACACAAAATTAATTATAATAATAAAAAAATAATAAAAAAATAATAATAAAAATAAAAAAATAATAATAATAAAATAATTATAAAGTAAAATAAAAAAATATAATTAAATAAAATTCAAATAAATTTTTTGAGGAGATTTGTTAATCAAATTATTTCAGTTATGACGAAATCTCAAGGTACTTCGTTCAGACGGCGTATTTCTGCATTCCATCATTTTTGTGTTCTACCACTAAAATAAATTCATTGCATAAATCACACGCAGTAAGACAAAAAAACTCGATCTCTGTTATGATCAATTTAAGTTCATGAATTCAGGATTCATAACACAACAATATTAGAAGCCTTAATTTAACATTACTTAATATGAAACATATATAAAATTTACATAAAATTTACATATATTTAATAAAATCATATAGCATCCAAGTGTATCCCCAAATAATTAAATATTATAAACTATTATGGTTATTGAACCTATACATATATTTATAATATAATTAAAAGTAAATTCAAACTCATTTTCACATAAAATCGATATTTAATAACTGAATACATGTATATATTTCACAATTTATATACATATATATGTATTAAATTGTTCGGGAAGTAATTTCGTTTTTTTTGTGGAAATGAAAAACAGTTTTCTTATAATAAAAAAATACTTTATTAAATTATATATTGGCCGTTCTGGTCCAACACCTTTTGCCATCTTTCTGGTAGTAGCATAATTAAACTCTTATAAAATTCTTGGCCTTTGCTGGCAAAAAAGTGATCGAGGTGTTTTTTGATCTACTCATTTGAGGTGAAGGATTTGCCGTCTAAAAAATTTTGGAGTGACCGGAACAAATAATAATCCGATGGTACCAGGTCTGGAGAATATGGTGGCACTGGCGTAATGTCAACACACCTTCCCCATACACATCGGTCAATTTCTTTCTGGCTTGAACAGCATTTTTACCCTTTCTGTAGTAAAACAGTAAGATATGTCGAAAATGGTGCTTATCGCACTCCATATTTAAAAGGGGACCAAACAAAACTACTGCGTAGAATTAATTGGAATTTTTCAGACACAAGCGTTGCTATATGAGCTGTCGAAGCATATAAAAATAATACGACTTAAATGTGAAGTTGGATGCAAAAAAAATACAATTACATCCTCTGTCGGGAAAAAACGAAATTACTTTCCGAACAATCTAATACATATATATTACAATTGATATATATATATACAGATATTTATTAAAATCTATATATGCATAGATACATATTAAAATCTAGATATACTCATATACAATGATGGAGAAAATAATTGAAACGAGAAGTTTTATACCATCTCGAGGAGTATATTTTATTTTTTTAACATTATATGCATATAACCCAGTGAATATATTATTTTGATAAAGATACTTTAATTTACTTTCGCTTCTATACTTTTTTCGGCAAAAATATTAGTGATATGCACACTTACAGCAACAAGATTGAGTTTTGGGTTGAAGAAAAAAAAAGAAACAGTTATATTTTTTTATTATAAAAACATTTCTGACAGAGTTAATTTATTTGACGCCGTTGGCATTTAGAAATTTATAAACAGTAGTGATAATGACTAACACTCTTGTGATCTTCACTATTTTTGTTCGGCGTATTTCGTCAAAATGGGTTGTAACAGTCATTGCAGAGATGGAACAAAAATTCATCCTTAATATAAAAAAAACGTAAATCTATGAATGAAATTGAAAATTTGAAAAAATGGTCAAAAAAAAGTGTAATCTGCAATTCATTTCGAAAAAAAAAAGAAAACCGATGCAGAAAGCGAGCTACCTCTAAAAAGTTCGAACAAAACAGTTAAATGCAGCATTAACAAATAGAAAAATACGAAATAAAGTGATAGCAATGAATTTGAGAGATCACTCCCCAAGAAAAGTGTTTTTTTATCTGAGCGAAACAAACATATCCCGTACAATAGTTTTTGCAAGAACACATTTGTTACGAAGTAATCGGAAAAATGTGCTTTGGTCCGACGAAACCGAAGTTAATTTATTTGGATGTGATAAGAAACCACATGTTAAACGTTCTAAAAATTGTGCAAACGATGGCAATATTATGTTATAGGGTTGTTTCTCCTCATCAGGTGTTGGTCCAATATACTGGATAAAAGAAAAGATGTGCTAACATATGCTGAGCAAGAAATGCCATTTAAGTGGGAGTTTATGCAGGATAACGATCCTAAACACTCCTCTCGAATAGCAAAGACCTGGTTCAGGGACAAAAATATCTATATAGGCTATACGTTATTAGTATAGCCTTCGCAGTCGCCGGACTTAAATTCTATAGAACATCTTTGGAAAATTGTTAAGAAGCAAATTTCCAACTATAAGCTCAAAAATAGTGAAAAATTGTGGAACAAAGTACGTGAATCGAATGATTCATGGATTTGCCAAAATCTAGTGGATTATATCAACCAATTGGTGCGCCGAAGTTATAAAAAATAATGGTGCCACAACTAAATATTAGTATAAGTTATGCAAAGCTTTTAAAATAAACAGATTTAAATAAAAAAATTTATTTTGTTAATTTTAAATTTTTTGTTTCTACTTTTCTTTTCCAAGGGACAAAAACGAAACGGCCAATTTTTATTATTATGAATTGCGGAAAAATTGTTTTTTTTCTTTATTCCATACACTTATTTTTTAAATTTTAAAACTTTAGAAAAAAAATATTTTAGCAAAAGATATATAAGATAAAGAAAGAAATTTAAGCTGTTTCTATAATTTTTTCCATCACTGTATATAAATTATACAATTTATGCGTTTACATGTACATATAACATATAGTTCATATAAATATACATACATATATTATACAATTTATATATAAATACATTTTGCATATATACAATGTAAAGTACATACAATTATTTTAAACTAAAAACGCGTAAATTAAAAAAAAAATAAATGATTGTTTTTTGTTTTTTTAAATTTAAAAAACTTTTATTCTATATATATATTTATATATATACTTATAGTATAAAAAGAATACGAACATATATAATAATATGGTATTTAAAAAAAAAATTAATTAAATGTTTGTGAAACCCTTGTTTCATAAAAACTTACAAGTAATAGTAGTGTCTGCAATTGATGTTGTAGATGTAGTAATCATTTCATCCGTGTCATTATTTCCATGGTTTGATGGATAAGATTGATTAGGATTATTTGAAGATGTATCAGAAACATTTATTCTGCTGTTGTTCTTTGCAAGCTTCGCAGAAATTGGTTCTATTTTAGAGGTAAGATTAGTTGGTAAAGCTCTTTTATTTCTGTGGTATTGTGTATTTAAATTAAGATTTTGTTTATAAATGCCTGTGCAGTTATGATTTAGTGACGATCTTTGACTAAATATACTATTCGAATTAGCAGCAGCGGCAGCATTGTTATTTTTACGAAATTTTTGTATATGTGGTGGAATGGGGGATATTGTTTTATGTGAATTATATGGAATTGATGACGGTCACGAGCATGCTACTTCAGTTGTTGTGGAATTGTTTGTATTAGTGTTTCCACTGCTGCTGCTGCCACTAAGCTGTAAAGACTGGCTATTAATTGCATTATCTTCAGAACAACTTCTGTCATTAATTGAAGTATTTGATGCATTTACAAATGTAGGAGCAGGCTTCTGCATAGTCGGTGTAGTGCCACCAGTGTCACTTGAAGCATTTGAATTATCGTCATTGCGCTATTAAATTATACCAAACATTTTGATATACGTTAATATTATTATGTTTAAATAATTAAAAAAAAAATTGTTTTCTTACTGATTCACTTAATCGCATACGCTTAGTACTGCCATTATCCTTTTGCGATGTTTGTGCTAGTTCCGTAGAATAACGCTGTCTATTTGCCATAACCATGTTATTAAATGAAGTATGCGTTTCCATAGATTTCCTTTCACGTTTTAAAAAATCTGCATCCAAGTATAAGGAAAGTTGTTTACGTTTTACATGACGCGCTTCAATTAACATACCCTCCTTCAACATTTTTATATTTACCTTTAATTGAAATTGATTATAAATAATAGATTATAGATGTATATAAATAAGGCAATAAAAAAATTTTTTTCTTACACCATGGTGTATAACATGTTCAGTAAAATTTTGTATATTTTCTGTTAAGTCAACGTTTAAATTTTCGGTGCGCTTAAACTCCAAACCAATAAACCACATTGAACAATATGGAGAGGAAGATACAACTTGCGAATTTTGAGACTTATCATCTTCATTGCCGCTACTATTTTGCAAGCTTTTTTCCCCCTTCTTGTACTCGAAACATTTAGGATTAACATGTGCTAAAGAAATATGTTCATTCCTTTCTAAATATCCAATTAGTAAACGAATTTTTGATTCGACAAGACCACACCATTCAAGATGATCTTCAGCAGTTATTGAACTAACCAAAAGTACAATAAAATGTCGATAACTACAACAAAAATTATTAAATATATATTTGTACATTTATGAAAAATATTCCAATTTCATTAACACATACCTGTAGAAAAAACTTGGCGCTTCAAACAACCGGTCCCAAGAAGCACGTCCTAGCATAATTTCATCGGTTGTTGTCATACCACGATTAAATTCATTAAGAATTACTTTCTTTGTTGATTCGGAAACATTAAATGTAGAATTCTGTTGTGGATATGCTGGTGTAATTATTGGCATTAAATGATAACGATCTGATACATTAACACGAGGATCCCAGACCTATGCATAAATTACATTATTAAGTTTAACTATATACTGATATTTTCAGTTAAGTGCAATATTTACCGGAAAACGTAAATTTACATTATCTGGATGTTTAAGTAAAACAGGATTAGGCCACTTCCAACGTGAAAACACCAAGAAGAATTTGTGAACTAGTGTCGCAGCAACAGCATTTGGATAAAGTTGACAAGTACGTGCAACAAGCATAGCCCATGTAACTCCTCCAAAGTATCCTAGTGAATTTGAATATATTCCATGTTCTAGAATATTTTATAAGCATTAATTTCATTATTTTTATCATGATTACATTTATGCATTACTTACTTTTTGCCCATAGTTTAATGGTGCGTAGTGCTAAACGGAAATTTTCAATATTAGGCACAAGTGCCAAGATTTCATCTGTAACACGACAACCGTTTAAACTACGGACAGAGCGTGGATCTAAATTTTTAAGTAAGTTATCATCTCGTAAATCAAAGTCATCGGGTATCTCTTTAAGTGAAAGTCTTGCGAAAAGTAAATCGATTTCAATACCATCAAAATTCATTTTTATAACCGGTACAAACGCCTCTTCTACTGCTCTGCATTCAGTTACTTCTGACTGCCTTTTAAGTAAATCAAAAAAGGAAGTAAAATAATCAGTGCGTTCAATATTACGTGGGGCAACACATAACGCATCAATATCGGCGCCTTTATGGTGTACTCCAAGTCTATAGGAGCCAAATGTATAAATTTTTCCACCCAACTTTTCTGCTGCTACTTCTGGCATATTTTTAGAAACAGATACATCTTTAACCCACTGTTTGACAAGCGTGTTTAATTTAGCTAAAATTTCCATGCGATGATTCAGTTCATCTTGTGTTTCAAAAACTTGATACGGTTCCAAACATTTTTTCAAATCGTCAGTTTTTTGTAAATCTTCAGGTCGTGGATCTGCCAAACTTATAGCCGAGGTCATTCCTAACTGCTTAACTGGCTGTTGTGGTGAAGTTGTTGTAGAGCGACCATTTTGCACATTTTGTGACTGAGTACCACTAGTTTGACTGGGATCAGAGTTCCACATTTTATTAAAATTGATTTCTCTCAAACTCGAAGCTAAACTCAATTATCGTCGCTGTCTCTAATAGAGCTATGAAATCTATAATAGTCATTAGTTACAATAAACAGTATAAGTATAAAATTCAAAAAGCTCTAATTATTATAAACTACACAAAGAAAGATTTCTTGTTTATATTAATATAATTTGAACATGTAAAACTATTGTTTATTAATAAAATAATATTTCAGACATATTTTTATACCTTACAAAAATTATATACATATATATAGCTGCTATAATTTCGCTTATCTATTATTGTAGTGTTTATCTGTTGACTATATATATATATATATATATATATTATATATATAATATATATGTATAATAATAATATATAATATTATAATATTTATATTATAATATATAATGCTATAATATATATATAATATAATATATTATATATATAATATATTCTTATATATATATATATATATATATATATATATATATATAACTTAATACATTTATTTGTAATATTTCAAATACATGACAATTGCAAATTGTATTCTTATAAGAATTGTATACATATATATTTACTGGACTTATGATGATTAATTCTATTATCTAGTAACATATTTGTCATTAATTTTTAGACCAATACTATATTGCTGCTTCATACGCACCCAAGTAATCTTAAATTAGGTCCAAAAATAACAAATTCTTGAAGACGATGACGATTCTAACTTTCCCGAATTTGCCACTTGGTACTGACTTTGCATTGGTAAATAAATAAATTTGATTGAATGCATGTATGCACTTTAAGCAATCGTACAAATTACGGAGCTAGTATATATATATATGCAGAAATAGCAAACAAAAATTAAACGAAAAATATTATTTAAAGGAATATTATCTACCTACCTAAATAATATAAGCTCAGTTATATGCTAAATCTTAACCGGAAAATGTTGTCCACAATTTACTGTACTCCAAGAACATAACATTAAATTTGCTTCTTTGTCATCTCCTTTAATGTATGTTTTACTTGTTTGTCAATTTTCTTTTCACTGACTTTCTCACTAAAATTTGTTGTTACAAGCAGATCTTCTTAGTCATGTACACATAAAATTAGGAATTTAGTGTAGTATACTCTTTTGGTTTTTACATTTATATTTAAGCGAATATCATTTAAAAACTTTATTAATTTAGACACTAAACAGAATAATATATATTTAAATACATTTTTGTACACATATACGCAATCCCAACGCTTGATAACAACGAAAAGAAGTACCTATCCATCTAAAAAACCAACCACATTTGCCTCAACACTTTCGTTAACTTAAAAGTGTTGGAAAACGGAAATATTAGTGTTTTTGACAAACAAGAAACAATAATATCCGTAAATGTTTTATTCAAGGTAGCAAAAAAATATTCACAACTTACGAAAGAAAACATGTGAAGCAACAACAATGCTCTTAAAATATTCAGAGTTAGGTTTGGACTCGTAAATATTTTTACGTCTTAAGTTTTAGTGCAGCCAAATTCAAAAATTGTGAATTAGTCTGTTATGAATATTCAGTAGAAATATGTTGCAAAATTCCTGTCATTCATTAAAATCACAGGAACACTTCATTTCCTAATAATTTCAAATATAAACATAAATAAATTAATTTAAAAATATAAGATGAAAATACTAAACGTTGCCCTTTTAATATTCATTTGGTTTCCATTGATTTAAATAAAATATTTTTTAGTGTTACAATATTTATGTTTCATATTATACGCAACACAGCATAAAACATATTACAAAAAAAAAACATTTATCATATTTAAAAAGTGATGCCAATTTGTTTCAATCAGACTTAATGTGGGTTTTTTACAACTCTGAAAGAAAATACTACGGCTAATAACGTTGTAGCTTATAATTTTTAAGGTTTTGCAAGTAATTTTATAAAAATCATAGTTAAAAGTAACTATTTTATACAAAATTGTACAAAGCTATTTTTAAAAGCATATAATGGTGCAGTTGAAAAACGTGTTATACTTTTTACTATATTGTATAATAGAATTAAATAAATGAAATAATAAAGTCAGTCATAAATTACGAATGACAACTCTTGAATATGAGCATGGTCGCTAGAATAAATTTAAGCTAGAGCGCAACTTGAATGAGATTCAAAAATGATAGTCTACGACGCGCTTTAAGAAATATTTCATACCTTAAATAGCCTTAAAAAGTGAATTATTTATGCGGTAAGTAATCAGTTGAGTCGTCTTAAGTTATGGAATATTTAATTATTTGTGCTGAAGTACAAATAACGTACTGGTGCTGTAACAAACATGAAATAAATGTTTTGTGTGCAAGCTATTCGATGTTTTTATTCTAATATTATTTTGCATTGCATATGTTAGTTATAACATTACTTATGTTAGTTCGATTTTTTGTTTTTGTTTGTACGTAAAGGAAGAATTGTTACAAATTTATTGCAATACAATATTTATCATCATTAAAACTCAGGTTTCTATTCGAATTTTGAAAGCGTTAAACACTGAACATACTTAATAGAAAACTAACAACTCATTTTGACATTTACCAATTCTGTTTACGTTTTGCATCGCACGAATTATTTTATTTTTAATTTTAAGCAATCATTGCCTGGTTGTTCATAATCCATATACTTTTTGATTAATTCATTACAAATTATAAAAATATTTTTAAAATAAATTATTTTTGCATATTTGTTATTTTATTTTTTCACTACCTCAACGAAATTTTGCATTTTTAAAGCATTATGTTTAAAATTTGCCGAATGTAAACAAAATTGACGTTCAGTTGTTTACAATTAATCAAAATGACCAGCTTGAATACGTATTTTAATTAAATGCGATACAATTATATGTTACAATAAATCAATGCCTGCTCAAACAGGCTATAAGAAGAAAAAATGTAGAAATAATGATATTGACTTGTAAGTGGAAGCAATGAAACATAATTTTAATATTTCTTACTCAAACTATTACCATAAACAAAGGATTATCTTTATAATCCCCACACTATTCTCATAAATTCCAAACTACTACCACTATTAAACCAATATTTCTTTTTAGATGTCCGACTCAAAAATATGTGAGTTAACTGAATGTGGAATAATTACATAGTCCTTTAATTATTGAATATGTTGAAATTGTAAACAGAAGAAATAATGCTAAAGCAGTGGTAGGACCTTATTGTTGAATTTGTAGACTGTGGTTTATGAAAGCAGTTCGTTGAATCGTATTTAAAAAAAATTTTAAACTTTTAAATGATGTTTGAGTTTACAGTGACCTGCTTAGTTTAGTGTAGATAAAGCTAACTGATCCAAAACATGCACAGACCCTATAGATCTACAGCAATACCAGATAAGATTCCTTAAAAGCAGTCATTGGTAATTTTAAGAGAGAATTTTCTTCAATATTAGCAAGTCCCTTGACACTGGTAGTTTCACAGTATTTTAGTCGATTTTAACCGGAAAAAGACATGATTTAGTTTTAATTACTCAGTTCCCTGCATTAACCACTAGACAATGCAGAATATAATGTATTAAAATATCAATTAATGATCTGCCGTCCCTTCGATCAAAAGATAATACAGATTTGGCATATTTTTCATTAAATAAGTTTTCAGTTAACACTGCCGATATAAGAAATGCTTTAATTACATATGTTTTTCGTCTATTTCAATATGAATTCGTGTTGTTAGTACTTCTTCGTATGCTGCTTCCTAGTTTAGACTTTTCAGAAATCAGTAAGACTGTTTTCCTTTTATTCGAAGATGAATTAGTTTTTTTTTCAAAATATTTTTAAGTCTACAGGATAACTCACAGCTTTTAACGAGTTTAAAAATTAAGATTAATATTACGCACATCTTAGATCAGTCATTGAAATATCACGAAGCTTATGAGGAATACACAAATGGGTGGGAGATGGGTGGTACTCTGCAGAATCCTCCAGCTATCAAAGAATAAAAGTGCCCAGATGCACTAACTCGGAAAAGGCTAAACATCAACTGTAAAATATAAATCCAAAAATCAAATCTGAAAACTTTAAACTGTTTTTCTTTGATTTTTATTTTATAAAATATAATTACCATACATTAATAACTTAATTTATACTTCACAATATTCTGATGTAAAATGATGTAAAAAACTTATTGTTATGAATGCAACTTTGATATATCTTCATACTTAAGGTTTTTTACTATACGTCCTTGCAATGGGCCTGTTGCGATTTCCACAGATACACAATAATTACCTTCATCCAATTCTCTTAGGACACCTTCAAAACCACGATAACCACCATTTACAACTAGTACATTCTTATTAAGTGCGGGTATAACAGTCTCCAGATGTGCCTGGTCAACTTTAAGTTTTTCTCCACTTTCAAGAAACTTTATTTTAGCTCTGTATTTGTCTATTACTGATTGCACAACAGCTTTCTCTTTGTAATATTTTTCACCCATTGATTTGCTAATAAACTTCACGACAATACCTTCATGCAACCAGTAGTCCTTTCGATTAGAGCGTTCTTTTGCCTGCTCTTCTAATAACATAATTTCATCTAACGCTGATGTAGTGCTACTATCAGATTTACTTTTTTGTTTTACATTCTGGACTGTATTATTTTTTATAGTTGTGTCCATTTTAAAATGCTTTGTATTTAATGCCACTTTATGAGAAGTATTTTCCATATGTACATTTTTCACAACTTTAATATCGAGTTTCAAAGGCTGCGACTCATCTCGTTTAAGTTCAGTAAACTTTTCAATACATTCTGTTGATTCTTGATTAGTAGTGCATTTTGCTTTTTCTATTTGTTTCTCGACAAAAGCTAACATACGTTCTTCGTCATCTTTTTCCATTTTTTCTTTGCGTTCCATTTTCGACTGTCGTTCAAGTGCATCAGGACTGCGGTCTATGTATGAAACATACCAACCCTTCTCTGTCTCATCAGCTATTACTTGTCCCGAGCGTCCCAACCATTTAACATAGTCGGAAAGTGTTAGCCATCGAGTTGCATTCATGTGTATGTGATCTTTTGCTGATATATATTCCTGATAGACTTTATTTGCGTTTACACGTTTTGTCCCGAAGCGACGCCTTAATAATTCCATATATCCATCTGAAAATTCTTTTGAAAAGCTATATAGAAACTTTCCAGGTGAATCGGCAAATAATAATAACTGACGTTGATGAGATTCGCTCATTGTGTGGCACTTAAATCCATTCTCATCCCGACACTGCTTTTCACACATCTGACAATACCAACGCAATTTTTGCAAACCCTTTGCCTTCATCTTGTTGGCAAGGTATTTCGGCGTGCCCTTCTCGGCTTTTCCCATTTTTATCACTTAATTATTACTCTTTTAAATAAAATTATATATTAAAGTGCTACTTTTGTTTAGTTCTCTTGCAATCAGTCTCTACTGCTGTTTTGACAGAAAATGGTTTTATAAACAAATGACACTTTAAATTTCTCATCCCAATTCTATCTAAAATTTAGTTTTTACAGAGTTGTATTCGAAACTTTTTTAAATTATATTATATCGTAAATAAAGCAAAAAATCGTCATATATTATGCTACTTCGAAATTACTATTGTAGGGAAGTGAAATTTGCATAACAAATAAAAATTTTAGCTGAATGAAGCTGTCATAATTATTTTAGAAATATGTTTTTAAAAATTCAATTAAATCATAAACTATTTTGCTACAATTATTATTATATTTTTTTATATGCTGCTTTTTATTTTTAAAGCAAAAATAATAATTATTTGTAAATAAATACTCAATAACTACTATCTCTAAACACAAAAATAAACCTTCTTATGCATAATTTATTTTTAAAAACCAAAAATAACTTGCGCGTTGAGGTATTTATTTAAAAAAACGGCAAAATAAACCGCTTTTATTTGTATTGTAGTTATTTTTGTTATCTCATACAAAATGTATGAAAGAATTGGTGCAGGTAAAAGTTAAGTTTTATTTATTTTTTGCTTTGGTGTTTAATTAGTGTTAGGTGCTTTCGGCAGCTATTACGTGTGACAAATAACAGCAAGTTGCTAAATTTGCTATATTTTTTATAAAAATTTATATAAAATTGAAAATTAAAATGAATAATAAATTAAAGATCATGTTAAAAATGCAGGAAGTTTTCCAATTTTCTTTTGAAATAAATTTAATAATGGTTTAGAATATTTATGCTTGCATTAATTAAGTATTAATTTATTATCAACTAAAAAGCTAAAAATTTTAAACTGCTTTTTAATTATACTTACTTCACATACTCCTAAAAATTGTTGTTTATTTATACACACATATATATTTTAAATATTTATTTACCATAATTCGACATATTTTTAAAATGTTTTGTTTTCAAAATTTCAAATATGTGAAATGTTATTTTGCGTACATATAAGCAACTATAGGCCAGCAACTTGCTGTTTTCTGCTAGTATCTATTGCAATTACAAATCTATTCTTGTATTGTATAATAATTAATTAATTATGTTTAATTTATAACTTTCTGACTTATGCCAATGGGAAAGAACAAATTTTTAATTGATTAATATAAGTTGATTTAGCTGCACTGAGAACATAGTACAAAATTCTAATACAATTAAGTACAAAAATATTAAAACCAAAAATTTATGATTTTAACTAAACCCTTTCATTAAACACTGAGCAACACTTTCACTTTGTTTCAATTTACAAACGTCTCACTAAAGGTTTTACACAGTTGCTGCCTAATGAACGAAAGACAACAATAATAACAAACTCACAATCGCTAAATATGTTTAAATTTTCTTGAAATGTATAAAAAACAATTGAATGGTTATAACGGACAACTTTATGTTGGTCCCACAATCTGTATATATGTATTACGGTTATAATGATACCTTGGATGCGTGAAAAAATTGCAGAAAAACGTGCAAAATGGTTAGCACGGAGCAACAGAACCGCAAAAGAAAAAAATTTAATAAGGAGCGGATGCGATAATGAAGACGCTTTACCGGCGGATGCGGCTCATATCGAAAGAAATCAAGACAATCTTAGCACAACAGAACAAAACAATACAATTGTCGAGCAGGATTGTGCTGCACAATGTAGAATTAAAACTTCATACATTGCATCTAATTTAACTTTAAACAAGTTACCAAGGAATTCTCTATTGTAAGTAATTTAAATTTAACAAAAAAAGTTAAACAAAAACAAAAATTTTATAACAAAACTGTTTTAAAAATTATTAGTATTATTGGTTAAGTATTTTTTGGCAAATTAAAAAATATGCAGAAATTGCGGAACTTATTTTCGAAGTGAGATATGTAATATATATATACTGAGTTATCTATTTTATAATTTTTATTTTAGGAGACGTTCACGACGTAGTATATCATCTTCATCGTCCAGTTCCACGAACAATTCATCAAGTAATTCAAACGATACCGTAAGTGACACATCACTAACAAATGAGCGTGTTCGAGTTCGAATAATATGCCCTAGTGCTCGTATACTTATTTATCAGACTGATGTTAATAAGCATCTCTTAGAGATTAAAAATGAAATTATTATGGAGTTATCTGATGACATGGCTGCAGTGCAACTGTTTTCGACTGATTTACGTTTAGTTGCTCCACGATACAGACTATTTCGAGCAGAATTCGAAGGTGTAGAATTAGACGAAAATCGAACTTTGAAATCACTCAACATAAAAAATAATGATACACTTGTATTGGTTATTAAAAGACATTTCTTAGCAAATAATATGCCTAGTGCAAAGGATATGACTCCCCCACGACTGTATGAGGTTGATATGGCAACGAGAAACCTTCCCTATCGTGTAACAAATCTACCAATGATTGATGTTAATGAAATATTCCAACAGGCCAATGTAAGTGAATAGAAAATTTTATATTAAGTTTTTCTTTAGAGTTTCTTCAATTTGTTGTATATACTGCTTTATAATACAATACAAAGCAATAAATATTTTAATACTTCATATAAGAAGTTGATTATTTTATTAATATTTAATTAATGTTTTATTATAGTTGCATTTTGAAGTACGAAAAGTTTTAATATCACTTGCGCAAGTTTCTGCTATAATAGTTGGTGCAAGTCCATATGCCGATCGAATTATAGCCATGCTGAAACAAAAACTTATAAATAAACTAAATGACGAAAATGATATACTGCAGTGCCTTGTTGACATGGGTTTCACAAAGGAAAGATGTGAATATGCTCTAAAGACTCACAAGTAAGTATTTTTTTATTTGTTAATATTAATAGCTTACTTTTATTTACTTTTAGTGGTGTTTATGCTTCGGCCTTAGAATGGTTGATTCAAACTCAAAACGATGATTTGTCAAGAGTAGAAGAAGTCATGGGTCTTCAGAAAAGTCAATCAATTATGTCCCCCACAAATATAGTAACAAATAATGTAATAATATAAGTTTATATATACATGTTTTATATGAAGTAATTTATTCAATTGTAAATTCTTACTTTAAAGGATGTTTTAGAGAATATAGCTGCACTTTTGGAAATTGTTCGAATATTTAGTCATCGTGATATGCCACCCAAGCCAGATACAGTGAACGAGATCACTGAAATGGGTTTTGAACGGAATGAAGTGTATGCCGCTTTAAAAAAAACTTGTAATAACAAAGGTGCTGCTTGTGAGTGGCTATGTGGCATACGCAGTCCCAGTTTACTTGAACTAAAGGAAGGCTTAGCGCAAGATTCTCCGTTACTTCAATCAATTTTAGAAATGCCCCAAGTTCAAATGAGTTTGGGAAATCCAAAAATACTTTTAAGTAATATAAAAAAAATTTGCGATTTTTGTACAGTTTGTAAAACTATTTCATCCTTTATAGCATTTGTATCCATACTCGAGAATGAAAGTCTGTTGCGTTTGTGGGGTGGAGATAGTGATTCTAGCTCAGTTATATCTAACATACTTCAAAGATATCATGACGTAAAACATGCTTTAGGCATGAATCAATTTTATGCAAATCGCTTTGAAAATAGTAGCTAATAAATTGGCACCTGTAATTTGTAAAAAGCGGTTAACACACAAAACTGTTTTTGACAACTATATATGGACAACAACCTGAATGAAGCTATCCTTAGTGGAATTAGTGAAATTTTTTTTTAGTTTTCTAATAAATATAATCTTGATATATTTGTATGCAGATAATAAGTTCAACTTGCAAAGTTGCTTTAGAGCACAAAATTTGTAAATAAATTCATAAAAATTTGCTAAAAATTACTTAACCAAAAATAATGGTGTTTATTTTTTATCATTACAACTATACATATTGTATTTGCACAAATTTATTTATATATTATTTATTTTTAGGAATACGCTTTAAAATATACAATAGAAAATTATAATAAATTTTATAATTACACTTTTTATGTATTGTTTAATTTATTACAAAAAAATTATTGGATGAATATGTAGTTGACAGCTCATACTACTGGATAGATGGGTTGAAACAATAACGATAAAGTATGAAATATAGCTTCGTTTGTATATGTAGAAGAATCACTCTCATAGATTAGCGAACTTGTTGAGAAGTGAACGAACCAAAAATTGGCACTTTACATATAGTAAATAAAAATATGCATAGCAGATGTCCCTACAAAATAACAGCTTTGAAATAAAAATAGGCAACTACAAAACACAATTAGTTGTGGAAAAACACAATTAGTTAGTTATCGCTTCTAATTTGACAGGCACGAATTCTACGCCTGGCACTTGCAGTTGTGACAAATTATATACGGACTATAAACTATTTAAAAAGAAATTCGAGTATTTCATAAGACCATTGATGATGAGTACGTGGCGTTGTGGAGTTAAACAAATTTCAATATATTAACTAAACTTTTGTTCCTGTCTTTGCTATTCGAAATCGTAGTTTCCTTTCATCATAAAAACACGTCACTCTCGGCAAGAACAAATTAATATTAAAAAAAACTATTTTTTATTTAATTTTAAACTTTATTTAAAACAATTCTTGCATTAAAAATTTTAACATAAAAAAATCCACATTATTGAAAAGCCATTTCAACTAAATCGATTTCAAAACGTTATTACCATTTTAATAAGATTTAAAAAAAAAATATGTAATACGAACAAAAAAGGTACGTTCCAATGGAATTTTTATATATTTTAAAGAACGTTGATGTTCAGCAACTATATTAAATAATAATTTCAATGTCTTCTTCGAAGTTTATGTACTAAAAGTGATAAAAATAAAAGGGTTAAAAACAGTTTTATATATCTGTTATGCATATGTTATGCATATATATATATATATATATATATATATATATATTTATAAATTCTATTTTATATAAAATACCATATAGTTTGTACATATGCAATGAATTGAATGTGTGATTTTATTTTTATCCATTGTCATAATTTATTTAATTAGTAAACAAAAGTTTATAAAAATTACGTATGTGATATGTAAATGTTAAGGTCGTATTTTTAATGATTTAAAAACATTTCATTCAATATGAATGGTAATTTCTACATTTATATATCAACTAAACTACTATAAATAATTTAAATAATTAATTTGTATTTTGATTTTTTTTTTGTTTTTTATTGAATTTTTCTTATGGCAATGTTAATGTTGTAACAAAGTAATATTGTATTAAAATATATTTTAAAATATTTTAGCACTTTCTACAATTTTTTAAAACACTTATAGACCACACCATACCCGAAATAAACGAATATATAAAAAATGAACTTATTTTAAGTAAGTAAAAAAATGACTTAAACCAACATAAACACAAGTAAACAGTTATTAATTGACAACAGTTATTACAATTGTTAGTCGATGGTAATGATTTTAATAATATTATATCGTTTCTAATTTATGATATATAAATTATAAATGTGATGAGTGGTGCAATTTCAATGACCATTAATGCCTTTATCACAATTCATTCTCCATATTCGATCGTACATTTTTAAGCACATTGTGAGTTTTTAGTATTTGATTTTTAATATCTTTTTCGACCTGTGCTTTCTTTTGGTTAGATATATGTAGTTTCTGATACGTGTCTTCTAATGCTCGTTTTGTGCGTAACAATTTGCGACGTAATTCTGCATTTTCTTGATCTACCTTGGCACAATCATGTACATTTTCCTGCGCAATATTACTCTTAGGAGATGGTTGCTGCCTTTGTTCGTCATTAATTGCTGATGCATTTATTTCTACAAAAAATGAAAAAAAATCGATCAGTTCGTAAATATAAATTAAATAAGATTAAAAAAAGTTACCATCCTGTAACGAAATTACTTGGAATGCTTGAATAAATATAATCTTACTGGGAGTTTTATATACTGAATATATACAAGAAAAAATTTCATTCCCGATAAAAAGAAAAAAAACTCAATTTCTTTGTGCATACCCTAACATATCAGTTACGAACAATGTCGATTCAGACTAGTCCATGATCATAAAATGAATATTACAAAAAAAAAGCAACAAATAGCGAATAGGATATAAAGGTTCCAAGAACGGCCGGATCTACGTCCCGAGCCACTCGACGACCAAGTACCGTTCCACACTTCCCAAAAGGACTTCACAACCAGGTCCCGGAGGGATATAACAACAACAGGGTATAAAAAAACAACAATAACACAGACGCTACTAGACAGAACACCGAATTTATTTATTTTTAACTCGTCTACGCCCAGAAGCCACCCGTCGAAAACGACCAAGTACTGTTTAACATCCCTCAAAGGGGACACACAAGCAAATAACGGCGGGCTACAACAACAACAAACTAATTCCCGAAAAATATTTTTCTTTAAAAATAAGCATCATACATACTCCTACACAATCCTCTCCCTTCTCACACTACCATCACCTAAACTCATGTAGGTTACTGCTCGATTAATCTGCACGTGTTACCACAGTAACTACAATAACATGATTTAGTAAGTCAGACACCTACAAACTACGAAACCCTTTCTGTCTTTTGTAATTATATATCAAGCTATTAACAAGTACATACTACTATAAAACTTACCATTTTTAATTGAAATATTTTCTTTAGCCATAGACAGCTCCACAGTTTTTAATTTAGAGTGTTGTGTACTTGTTACTTCTACACTAGAAACACGACCAGCATCACTTTCTATGCCCAAATCCGGTGATTGATTATTTTGACGTGAAGTATTTGTGGCAGCATCTCGTATAGTATTTACATCACTAATACCAGGCATTCTATCTTGCTTTGGTATCTCCTCTGATGTATATTCAGAGTTTGAAACATCACTGCTATTTTGTCTCATTCGGGTAATAGAATTAAATTTCGTTTTGAGTTGGTCATATTCATATTTAAATTGTTGTAACTGCTTTTGCAGAATATTATTATTAATTTCATTTTCTGCTATCTTTTCTTTTAATTCCTGTACTTGCTTTTCAAGTTGCAATTTATCATTTAAAGCCTTTGTACGTTCTGTTATAGTTTTCGAAGATTGTATTGTAGATTCATCTAATTGCTTTTTCAGCGCACGGGCTGAAAATTCGCTTTGCACTAGTGACTCTTTAAGTTCCTGCTCATTTTCATTTAAATAATCAATTGTACGCTGAGCTTCCACAAATTGGCGTTGTAACTCAATTAATTGTTTTTTGTTCGCTTCATATAAAGAACGTTCAGTCCAATCGTTTGCGAGTGCATTTCTATGTTTACGCTCTTGTTCATTAATACGTTCCTCTAGACGTGCCTCGAATTCTTTTTGCAGATTTTCAAGTTTTTTAGTTTGTTCTTCCGTTGCAATTTTTATTGCAACTTCGTGCTTCTTTTTTATTTCATTTATTTCTAATTTTAAATCTTTTATTTGTATTTCACTTAAAGCAATCTGCACTGACAAGCAATCGCGTTCATCTACTAACTTTTTCATTTGATGTTCTTTTTCATCAATTTGTTTTAAAAGCAGTGACTCGTTTAATGAATTCACAGGTTCTTTGTCTCCAATTGTTATTAGATCAGCATGCAACTCTTCATTACGTTTACGTAAATGCTGAAGTTCATCTCTCATATCCAATACATGTAGGTTTTCTTTTTTTAAACGATTATCTGTTTCAACCAACTGACATTGAATTTCCAAAATACGTTCATCACGCTCTAAAATGATTTGTTCCAATTGTGCAATCCGGTCTTGTGATTTAGTTTTTGAATTACGACTTTGAGTGCAAGTATTAGTGTCTGTATCAGTATCAGTTGCTTTTTTCAAATCTTTAGTTATTGATGACGAATAATCGTCTAGTCCAATACGTGCTAAAGAAACTTTTCGATCAGGTTCCGACCAATCTTCTGACTCACTTTGATTTTCAATTGAAAGTGGCAGTGGTATAGGTAATGAACGTCGATCTCTTTTAGTATCATTCCGACGTTTTTCAAGTTCTTTTTTAAGAGCTTTGTTTTCAAACTTCAAATTTTTAATAGCCTCTTCTTCGGTCTCACCTTTATATGAATTGTATGTCATATTTTCACCTTCATTAAGGTCTCCTAAAATACCAGAAAGATTACTTAATTGTAGTAAGCTTTGATCGCCGGCAGAATTTCCTGTCATAGATAATGTAATGTTCAAATTCTTTGATAGATCAAGGCTACGATTTACTGCTTTCCGCATAGCATGGTGTCTATCGGCAGCTAAAAAGCCAAGTACATCTTTATGATTTAATAATGAATTCAAAAAACCAGCAAGCTCTTCTAAACGATTTGATAATAATGTACATACATCGGCACAATCTTGGCGCCATCTATCAGCATTTTCAGCTTCATTACGTGCTTGGCGTAATTCATTTCGTAATTGAATTATAACAGAATCATTATTTCGTTCACTTCCTAAACGTTGAATAAGAACATCGACCTTACGCTGAAGGAGTTTATTGCGTTCTAAAGCTTTCATATAATCTTCATCTGAATATGCATGCTTAAGTTCCAAACTTGTATCTTTGCTGCTAACTGGTGACAAAACTGATTCCGATGGATGTTCACTTAATAATTTAGTTAGTCGCTCAATTTCACGATTTTTTTCCCATAGTTCCTTGTTGACTAATTTCTATTATGTAAATAAAATCAAATTATATATTTTCATACTTTCTTTTAAAATCAATTGTTGGTAATTACCTGTAAATCTACAGTTTTTTTCTTTATCTCCAACTTTAAATTTTGTATAGTTTTTTTCTGCTGCTGAATTGTCATTTCAAGTTTTTCTTTATTTGCAATAGACACATCATTAACGACCTCAGAATCACTCAAAGAAAGTTTTCGATTAGTACTTTCTAAAGTATTTAAACCGGCTTGTGAATTTAAACACTTAAATGAAAAACACATTATTATAGTATACTATATTAAGACATTTAAAATATATTTACGTCTTTATTCGACGAAGATGGTCCATCCGCAATAAGTTGTTTAAACTTTTCTATCTCTTCTTCTTTCGATTTTAAATTTAACATAAGCTTTTGGACATTACGGCACGCGTGCTCGTGTTTTTGCTTCAGACTGGTTATCTCGTCCTCAGCTTCTAGAAGCATACACGTTTTGTCAGCTAACTCAGATTTAATTTCCTGCATCTCTTGCGTGACCATTTCAATACTCTAGAAAAAATAACATATATTTAGTTCAAATATTATGTAAACTTATTACCTTCTTATGTAGATATATATCTAAATCTGAATATATATTTGATAAATAAACTCATAATTATATTTTTCAAATCAATTTCTAGGCAGACAATTAAGTCATACGAGATCTATTTGATAACTCAGTAAGGACTACACTAAATAAGTTCCAACATATTTTTGTAATATTTTTTTTACGATCTTACAATATTTTAAATATTAATTAAAGATTACTCCTCCTTATTTTGTTATTAGATATTTGTTTAATTTATACAATAACTAATAAAAACTAATATTTATTTAGTTTTAACAAAGTGACAAACATAAGCAGAAAAAAATATTTTTTAAAAAAAATGAAAGTGCTGTGTACCATCAGTCTTAGGTCTAGTCGCAGTAAAGTACTTAAGATTATAAGAAAACAGGATGCTCAAATGAGGTGACAATTTGGGATATTGTGGATAATATCCTTGATATAAGAATGGATCATATGTTGAAAGACCATTTTGCATATGATAAAGTTACCAGCAGCAAATTAGCACCACGTTCCCACTGATTATCGTGCTTTAAAAAGTCTGAGACTGTCCCATCGACACATAAGTTATTATAATTAAGAGTACATATAGCATGGTAATCACTTCGATAACGTCAAAGCAATACCAAGCAATAGGCAATATAATACGATGCTATTAGATCGTGCACCGGCTTTAACTTTGGGGATAATTGAAAGAGAAATGACAGAAGAGCGGTTTAAGCGGTTTTAATCGTTGCGGCCCTACACTCCACTAGGGGAAACGGAAACTAAGAAGAAGATTAGATCGTATAAACCATATTATACTCCATTTGAATTTTATTTATATACAAATTTAAGAATATGGTTTGTTTAAAAGAAATTCTAATGAATTTGGACCAATCTTTGTCTGTACGTTTAGAGGAATTCGAAAAATCATTTTTTAAAGATAAAAAATATTTATGCAGCAACTGTATAGAACTCGAAGCGAACCATTTTAAGAATGAATTTAAAGTTTGGAAAAATACAACTTATTTTAACAATGACTGAACATTTTGAATATTCAAATAAACGTTTATTCATTTCAACAAAAATTCAAATATAAATCAGTTTTTCATCTTTTTGTTCTTTTAAAAATAGATTAAATAATATAGAAAAAATAAAAAACAAAAGAAGATTCTCAATATAAATTTATAATATAAAAAAAATTACGATATAAACATTGTATTGAGTATGTCCAAATATGTCCAAATGTCAGTTATTACCAAAATTAAACAAATCTATTAAAATTAAAATAAATATATATCAAAGTGCCAGCTAATAACACCAAAAAATCCAATTTAAAAAAAATCAAAAATATGTTAATTAATTCCACTAATCACATGAAATAAAAACGAAAAAATATATTCTGCAAAAATAATTTTTTTATGTAATATTATATTTACAATATATTTATCTATATAGCCACCCTGATAGCAGAGTATACGAGAACTAAAAATACGACACACGAGAAAGCTTTGCTTCATATTCTATTAGGTCTGGTCGAAAAATACGCTTTAATAAATGCTTGATGGTTCTGCCCATTACTCAAAAACAACATCTAATATGTATATGATCTATATGTCTATTAATCTATATTCGACTAATCTACATCTAATATAGCTACAGACCAACTGGTTGCCACATGGCTTACGGCCAGTCAATATTAACATAACCTAATCTATTTATCTATATAAATTATATGATGCATATTTTATAACATGTTAAATTAACATACTCTATTAAAGCCATTTTACATTTTTGGATCTATCGAATATTATAAATACTGACAATTCAATTTTTATTGTTTAAATGGGAAATTTGAATTGTGTAATGTGCGAATTTTTCAGAGTTCTATAATCCTTAGTTTCATTCAATAGCACTAGAGCTAGTGGTTTTGTTTGCTAAATTAATTGCTTTTACATTTTTGGATCTATCAAATATTATAAATATTGACAATTCAATTTTTTATTGCTTAAATGGGAAATTTGAATTGTGTAATGTGCGAATTTTTTAGAGATCTATAACCCTTAGTTTCATTCAATAGAGCTAGAGCTAGTGGTTTTGTTTGCTAAAATAATTGCTTAATTTCTGTATAGAAATTTTGAATTTCAAAATGTGGTCAAAAATTCAGAATACGAAATTTGACATTTATTTAATATTTTTACAATTTTGATTTGGTAAGCACTAAATAAAGCAAAAAAAAAATTCGTATACAAAATAGATTTTTAAAATTAATTTCTCAAAAATGTAAATGAATAAATCATTTAATTTTTGTGTACAAAATAAATTTTTAAGATTAAAGAAATAATTTTAATTTTGTATATAAAATAAATCATTTAAAATAATAAAATATTTAAATAAATAAAATATTTAATTTTGACGATATTCCCTTAGATGAGCAAATCTTTTCACTTAAATTTTCCTTATAATAGTAATTGTTTCAAAAAAGTTTCATATCCATATTTATATGATTGATATAAAAAATGAAAGATTTCGGGAGGATTTCCACATTTTTAATTTTCAAAATCTTCTTTAGCTTCTAAAGGTTCTAATGACTCATTGCTATTTGGATGCATCTACAGAATTGAAATTAAAAGAATTATTTGGGCAGGAATAACAACTAAAAGAAATTTGAATATTTAAACAATTATTTATAACATATAACCTCTTTTGTTTCATTCTGTGCACATTTTAAAGAGTTTTTAGGGATCCTTGTATGTAAAGTAGAACTAGAATATATGGACTTGAAAAGATTTCTCAAAAATTTTTCCTGAGACATCTTTGAGGGTTTGTTTTCCAAAAGCAAAATGTTTCTTAATTCATTAGTAGAGATTTGTATCAATACGTCATTCGATACAAACTTATTAGTGAAGTTTTCATTATTTAAACGGCAAGACGATATGAAGGCTTCAATTGATTTATTATCTTCATTTGAAGAAACATTATTCTTATCACAAGTTTCTGAAATTTCCTTCTTTAGTTCACTATATTTCTTACACTTCTGACAGTCATTGCTCTTTTTTTCAGTTAAGTTATTTATATAGTCCCGCAGATATAATACAGTCTGATTCCTTGAGGTCAGTTCGTTCTGATTATATTGGAGATAAAATTCAAAATTCAATATATATTATTGAACAACTATCACATATACATTATTACGGAACGAAATCTTTTCAAACATGTTTGTATAAATGGGCGTTTATTAATTTCCTTTCTAAATATATAATTAAATGTATATTTAAGAACAAATACAATTAAACAAATATGCAAGTCTGTCCAGGTTTATACATTTCAGTATGGAAGACTATGAACTAACTACCCTGGGTGTCAGCTAACCTATCAAAAACCTATTACTATTACTATAACATATTTTTATATTCTATGACAAAAAGGTTTTAATAAGGTTAGCACTTTTATAACTTATAATGAAAACAACAGTTAGTTGAACTCGCCCCCTTCGCACCATGTGGGCATCAGTTTTAAATCGGTTTTATATCATTTGTAGTACTATTATGTCATATAAAAACCTCTTTATGAAATATACTAGTTTCTATTAAATATAACAGTGACTTCGGTCTGAAAAATGTGACGTTAAATTATAACTTATATTGATAAATTGTGTAAGAAATTATTTCGTTCCGGTATAAAAAAAATTTTTTATTGAACTTACTTGAAATTTAACAAGCAAAAACATTTGGTCTCGCAATTGGGGTTCTATTAGGTTCACATAGCGTTCTTGTTCAAGATAAAGTTCATGAGTAGTTTTCAAAGAAAGAGCCAAATTTTTATTTTCAGAAACGATTTTTCCATTAGAAGTATAAAGACTTATTGTAGTCATCTTGGGGGATATTTAATACAATGTATTACAAAAAATTAAGTAATCTTTTTATAATTATTTATAAATAATAACTTATAAAAAAAAGAATTTATTGAAGTTAATCTAAACTAATAGAAATTACTTTTATCTACTGATTGTATTAATAATTAAATTACCTCTACGGTATTAATTTCTCTCTCTCTTGCTTCTAATGACTGCTCTAGATCTGATTTTTGACAACGCAACTCTTTGATTTGTTCTTGATATTCTTTTATTGTTTCATCTCGTCGTGTAAGAATGTCATCCAGTGCAGATATTTGATTTTGGAAGTCATTAATCTTTTCATTAGATGCTTTCAGTAACTCTTCCAGTTCACTTATCTATTGGAAAAACAATACGTTATAAAATTAAAAAATAATTGATAGTTTTCAAATGTTAGCAAAACTTACCTTAGAGTTCGCTGCCATATTATTTAATTTGTCTATGTTTTCACCTGTTGCAATTTCTTCCGATGTTTGACTACAATCCTGAAATTAATTAAAAAGTTTATTTTATTTCTAATGAATTTTTATTTTTTTTCTTGATTTTTCTTGAAAATTCTTGAAGTTTGTAAAAAAAATAAATGTTATTCAAAACAAAATAAGAATAAAACTAATATATCTTATAAGCAATTATATTTCTCACACACACACATGGACTACTTTTCATTTAATTAAAGATAAGAATAACAAAAATCAAATAACTATTTTTTAATATATATCTGAAACTAGAAATATTTAAATTAATTATTTTAAATAAATATTATAATTAACAAAATCGTGGAATTGCGTCATATATGATTGGTTAATGATTAAATCTGGAGGAACACCATATCACAAAATAATTTTAAAAATTTGAAATATTAGTTATAATTAATTTGGAAGGCAAAATTGAATATAGTTGTGGTATAAAAAGCTATAAAAATAATTATGATGATTCTAGTAAAATGTATTAGAACTCAATAGATCGAATTCATAATCAGGTTAAATAAAAAAAAATTAAATAAAACTAAGAATTAAAAGTTTGCAAAGGCATTTAAGTCTACGTGTCGGAATTACTATCTAATATGATCAAATATAATATAACATTCGTATTGGAGTACTATTATTTACAACGCTATATAAATCAATCTTGATTTATATATTTGGTAATAGTTGGAATATTTGGTAATATGAAATTAAATTATGTTAATAGTCAAAATTTTGATTATACCAGTACTTATCTCTTTCACATTATTATTATTATTTTTATTGATTATTGTTATTGTTGTAACCGGAAGAAAGTTACTAGTATTGTACCAATATATACATTATTACTCAATTCTGAATATTTTTAACAAATTTTTAAAAATATAGTAAACTACTTTAATACTAGTATGAACACATTTTGTTTGATGAAAGTAATAACACACAATAACAAAATTATGGTTCTTATATCCTCTTTAAAACTATAAAATAAAATTTATTTGCAAATGTTTGCAAAATTTAGCATTCACAAATAATATCTAACAAATGAATAAGATTACACCAATATATACTAAAAAATATATATAATGAGGAATATGAATACCTTCTTATTATCTTCACTATTTTGCATCTGTTTTTCGTTTGCTATCTCCTCCATATGTGTCAGAGCAGCCGCAGCTTCTTTAAGCAATTCTTGCTTATCTTGAACATCTTTACGTAGCATTTCTACTTCAACCTTAAATTGTAATATAAACAATAAAAAAAACTAAAACTTTTTATTAATAATACACACCTTATAATCAACTAATTGTTTTAAAAGTGTATCTTCAGGTATGGTTTTATCTGGTTGATTATATCCTGGCACATTTTCTTCTAAAAAATACACACGTAGTCTTAGATTGAAGTTTTCCTTTCGTAAAGACACAATTTGTTCTTCGATCTCTCGAAGAGAATTTCCTTGTCCAGACATGAACCCTTGGGAGCCCACGCAGGGAGAACGGTATCCTACACCATCTGTAATTAACATAACATATAAACATTGTTGTTAATGTTAAGTATAATTATTTCTTGGTATTATTGATATATTATAAAACTATTAAATAAGTACCCTGAAAGATCAATATAAAATATAGTTGAAATATTTGTGTAAATCAAATTTTTTTAAAAACTAATTTAGAATGTATATTATTTTTAAATAAAATAATGTTTCAAAAACATAATTAGAAATAAAAATTTTGGTCATTAAAACAATAAATTATATTATTTTTATATAATTATAAAAAAAATTCTTTTTTATATTATTTTAATTAATTGGATTTTTGGCTGACAGCTGTTTCGAGTATTGCCAAATATGCATCCTCAGTGGTCTTGGAAATAATTGTTGTATTTAATTATTAGTAAATAATTTTTTGTGCCCTGCCAAATTTGAAGCTCAGAGTCAGCGCTCTGAATTATAAATTATTATATTACTAAAAAATATGTTGCGTCTTCAGTATATAGAATTTATACATATTTATTTTTTAAAATATAAAGAGTGAGTTGAAATGATTTAAAATACGAAATTGCTTCTGTGGAACAGCATGAAAGCAATAATAAATCTTCATTTGAACTATAAAATTGAAATTATACATAATTTTCGTCACGATTAATTGTTATCTCACTTTATTCATACTGAAATAAATTCCAGTATAATTGAAGCAAGAACATGAAAAAGAGATTACATCATTTTATAACTTTCTTAACGACACTCTACAAAGTATTAGATTAAATTCTTTTAACAAGTTTGCTGACAGCTTTGAATATTTCTAGTTACGTAAAATATACTAGGTAGTACTGTTAAGTCGAATTTATACATAATGAAGATGATAATCAGCCATATCTTAGTTTACTTTAAATCAGTTAATATACCATATTCATTATTCCTGTTGCTACTTTTTATTTAGAATGAAGCAGATATGTTCTGCTAAAATTTATACATTTTATAGGGACGATTATAATTCCTCTATTATGTTAATAGACATCAAACTTTCTACTAAACCCATCTCCTACGATCTACCTTAAAGATTTGTATTATAACCAATAGATGACCGCATAACAAACAACTATTTTTAAAGTAGTCCAGTTCACTTTAGACTCCACCTGTTATAAATATAACAGGTGGATAAATCACAATTTAAAAAAAAATGTGTCAATATAAAGAACATTGTACATTTGTATATATTACCGATTTTATAACAATGATACTGTAAAAAAAAATGAGCAGAAAGTACATAAATAAAACAACAAAAAAATGAAAAAATAAGAATATGCGTCATCGGTTCTACGAAATATGCACCTTCAGAGTTATCCTCTCTAAATAATGCGTTGCGTTAAGATCGTTAAATTATTAATTTACGTCTGACCTTGTAATGACTTTAATTTTCAGTCTTGAAGACTGACCAGATCTGGTAAATTAAAGAAGTATACAATCAATCAAAATTCAATTTATATATTTTAGCTATATAAGGAAAACCCAAAAGTTGAAATGATATGTTGTTTTGATGAAGCAAATCTTTTTTTCATATAGAGAAGTTTTTCAGTGAATATATCTTTAAATTTATAGTAAGTTGCATTATATGCTATCTTCCTCAAGGTGATCAATTATCAAAAAACCAATTTTGTACCAAAAAATTCACTTTATTCTTTGGTCTCAGAAATGTATATTACAGATCCATGTTTCTCTAAAATTTGTTTAACTTAAACTCTTCTAAGACAGAAGTGGTTTAGCTAAGATATCTTAGTTAAAATCTGGTCCCAAATATGTTGGCTAGTGTTATTTATATTGTTATTACAGAAAAATAATTTAGCACAGGTAATAAAAAATAATAGTAACAGTGAAATAAGTTATAATAGATGGTAATGTTATTTTATTTAATTGTACAGTATAAATTTAATATATAAATAATATTGCTTACATGAATTATCCATGGTGACGTCTTTTAAAGTACCAGGACTTACGCTGAAAAATAAAAAAGAACAATTAATTAACATATAAAATAAAGTTAATTTTACTGTAATATAATAAAAAAATATAATTTGTATTATTGAGATTTTTAAATATATATACAATTAATAACATAATGTTTTTTGATAAACTTAAAATATAAAAATATTTTATTATATAAACTGATAAATATTCTTATTTATAATTTCGAGAAAAATATCTTCCTCCGGATATTAAAGAGGATTTTTATATTCGATACGAAATATTAAGGATAAGTTAAGATAACAATTATCTTCCTATCATTTTGTGATGTTTTTATCGTATGAAGGAGAACGAGAACGACTCCGGTTTACGAACATTTCCTGACTTTCCATTACATATTTGTACTACTCGTAAACTGCTTTTTATGGGCGGCAGTTTTTATATAAAACTGATTCATCACTTAATCGTTTCATTACCAAAACAAAATTTAATCTTTGTGTAATAACTTAAAACTAAAATGAGCTAATTCAACTAACATAGTTGCAGCTCAACAAACTTCTTAAAAGATTGAGATGTGGGTCTTCTTCTCAATTAGCAATACCCGATACTTTTTAAAACTTTTAATTTTTAAAGATTATATGTGAATTATTTTATAATGAATTTTTACCGCTCATTTTTTATAAACACAAGCGGTACTTTAATTAGCAGGATAAAACTTAGAATTGATTGGGTAACTTTAAATAAATTGTACAATATAAATATATATATAAATTATACAAAATAAGATAAAAATTATATAGTACGAACCACCAAAAAAAAAAGTCTAATGTGTCTTCAATAAAAAGCGCAAAATTAACATGATTAACTCTTAATGTTGAATATGTTTATATGGAAAACAAGTTACAGAATTTATATATTAAGTGAACTTGGATTAAACTTTAGTGACCTTTTCACTGCAATAGCATAAGATTAAGATAGGTGAACTTAGTGAATTTTTGCGGGCAAATCAAGATTTCTTTGGGCAAAAAGAATAAGCTAGATCTGTCGGCCAAGAGGTAATGTTTTTACAGGTAGACGTGGTATAATACACATCGATTATCTGTGTTCGACAATGAATATCATTTCAACTTATACGACCATTAGAACTTAAATGAATGTGAAGAATAACGAACACTGTATCCATTAATAATTCCTTTGCTCAATAAAAATGTTGAAAAAATAAATTTATTTTTTAACCTCATTCATATAAATCAGTCTTTTCAAGTTGTTTAACATGTAGCAATTTTATTAAATTTTTTTTTTTTGAATTTTCACATCATAATTTTTTATGAGTTGTCTTTTTGTTTGTATCATAAAACACTTTTTATACCTAAAAACACTCGTTTACATTCGGTAGGATGCGATTACAAGCTCTATAAACAGCCCATGCCTTCCAGCCTTGTAGTTTTTTTACTGTTTGTGCACAGCGAACAGATTCCCTTATGTCATCACTTAGTAATAATTTACAATCCACAGCGCACAAATTCTGTGATGTTCTATTTGGTGATGAAACGCACCAAAATCGATCACTTATTTGAAAAATACCGAAATCATTTGACCAATTTCCATTTAATCGCCCAATGGCAGAAGTATTGTATTTGCTTTCATAACGAGCGATGCACACCCACACTGGCAGCTCCTGTTTGAGTACTCCCAATTTATGCATTTCACGTGCCAAATCGCAACGGCTTAACACTCTTGTTTGTCCCTTGTAAATATATATTAACAACAAAAAAACGATCCAATATTTACTTGAATATTTCATAATAATTATTGTTTATAGTAACGTCGAAATCAACACTGATTACAAAGTCAGCTAAGCTAAATGGTTTAAATATATTTGAACTGCAATATTAATTCAGTGGAAGCCTAATCTGAGCGTCACTCGTGGGTGCTAATATGGAACCGAAACTTGTTTTCCATGATATATTTATACGGCATTTATTATTTGATCTTGCTACCATAAAAATTGTAAATTATATATTTAGTGCATATTTTATTCTTAATTATTAGTTTATACTTTAACTTTGAAACAATAAAAATCAAAATTGTGTCGTGCATTCGTTTCTTAAATAATATAATAGATTGATTAAGTGTGTTTAATAGAATACCCAAGAGCACTCCCCCCTCCACTTTTTTGCACATTAATAAATTAGAATAATTTTTTAATTAAGATAATATTATGAAATATAGGCAGCGTTTAATACAATGAAATATATTCCAGCTTCTGACTTGACACGCTGTTATGAACAATATTTACATACTATATATACCTACGTATAAAATAGTTGCAGTGAATTTGACGTGAAAAAATGAGTTGACATTAACATGCGTTATTATTAGTGAAATTGTAAGCCCAACTAATTAGAAATGGACAATACTGTATTATAACCAGACATATTAAAAAAAACTACTCATGTTATGAATTAATTGATAAATCCTTTACTTATCGTAATTTATGCAAGCATTTACTTAATTCTAATTTATTCAGGTAACTCAAGATCTACAGATCTGCCTGGGAGAATAGTTAGTAAGTAATATTCAAGTGGTGGCCATGTGATCAAAGCACACTTGAGCATAATGGCTCGTTGTGATACCACGGATCAGCGTTGTTGATAAGCAGACTAAAGATCCGCGTACGAACAATGCCGAAAGGGACTACTCCCCCATACAAGTAGAAATGAACCAACCTAAATTTGTCTATTTGTGTGTCCAAACATCCAACTATATGCTAACTGGAGCTTTCTCACTCTCATAGCTTTATAACCACTTGGATGATTATGGACCCATACCCAAAGGTCACCGGAGAAACGCCAAAACAAAAAGATATATAATTAGCCGTACAGACCATAATCTATCTAAGTACGTTAGTATACTTTACCCCCATCCATAAACTGATAAATATATAGATAAAAACTTAGCCGATTCAATAATTATGAAGGATAAAAGCTCTATGTCGATAAAAAAAAAAAAGCAACACCAAAAATTTTAAATTTTCTTCTAGCCAATGATGAACAATAATAGATGAAGTACAGGTTTCATCTCAACCACCGAGTCACAACCACCACAAAAGTCATTATAGGGTCGAGCCAGTCTCATAGCATGTCTTCCTAGTACGCAGAGACCCATCATACCGTAGTGCTAAACAAATTACGTCTCCAGCTCAAATATTTTTGGTTGATTGCCAATATGGCCGTTGCCAATACCAATATGGGACACCAATACCTATAAATAAATAAGTAAAACAAGAGGAAGGAGTGAACACAACAACTGCTCATTGTAAGCTTAACACTCGATTTAAAATTTAAGTATTCACTCGCTGGAAAACCATTGCATCAATTTTTATTCTTTATTTTATATACAAAACACACAACTACTTTTACGCAAAAGTACGGACAATATACTAACATCTAAATATATAAATCATTATGAAATATAACCACATATCAGCGAATTCTAGTCATCTTAAGCTAGACATATAACATCTACGACGGTTTTTGACTGCTACGCCATCTTTAAACGAGATGTTGTCGCTGTTTAACATTTGTCTTTCCTCGGTATGCGATCACACATCGCATATTGCAGACAATGACAAAGGAAATGAGCTAGACCAACGGGTACCTTAGGAATTCATTCGGAACATTCAAACTATGCGGCTTGCTATTAGCGCTTTGTAAACAATGAATTCTTTACAAATTGAGCAATTGAGTACAGGATGGAAAAGTTTCACAATCTCATTGACTTCTTATAATAAGAATGCAAAGTGATCAATGTCGAAGTGATATTCCTGCTAAAAATTGTACCTTCTGTTCAATGACTATTGTCGCTACTGTGAGCTACACAAAAAAGTTCTAGAAGCTCACTTACAAAATCTTGATAGGTTACAACTTTTCTTAAAGAGTATCTTGATCTTTTTTAAGGGTTACAGATGGTTTTAAATAATTCCATATTCTGAGCTTAAGAATATTCATAAGATCACCGTTATAACCTAACACAACCTAAATTAAATTAAACAATCCTTAACATATTTGTATTTTTAATTTCATTATTTCTTTTAACCCGTTTTTCAACATTTTTATTAAGAAATTATTTCACAAAACTGTTCAAACAGTCATTAAACTGTTAAATTCAAATGAATGTGTATGAATATGTATAAATACTATATTTTTATAATCTGCAGTTCGAAACATTAATAAACGATCATAATCAAGTTTTTAGGACAATTGAAAATGTTATTCAAAACAAGCATCTGCGTCTATTAATGTTGTATTACAGAATTCTTCGTAAACGGTCCATGCTGACCAACCTTGCTGCTTAAGTATCGTACGTGCACATATAACCGCTTTAGTAATGTCATCTGTGATTAGTTCAGTACAATTGACATTGCATTCATTGAACACATAGTATTCCGTATCATTTGCTGGATTACACCAAAATTTATCGCTGATTTGAAATAAACCATAATCGCTAGATCCGTCATCATTACGTCTACCAATAACATGTGTATTGAAACGACTTTCATATTCCGCAATACAAATCCAAAGTGGTAGTTCCGCCTTAGGCACATCCAATATGTACAACTCCCCAGCTAATTCACAACGTTTCAAGCGACGCGCGTAAACATTTTGGGAAATTATTAATAATGAAATGATTATTAATATACTCATTACTGAGGAAAATGCACAAATTTTCACTTTAAAACAAACGAAACAATGCAGATTTAGCAATTTAGTTATTTTAAGATATTTTAACATGTTTGCCTCAAACATAAAACACGATTTCACTTTTAAAATAATTCGTGCTAGTACCCAGAAGATAAAATACTGAGAATTCAAATCAAAAAGCTTTGTAAAGACATTGGTAAACTGGTTTCGTTTAAAATTGAAATGAAATATGAAAAACTATAATTAAAAATAACCATAAACTATTACATATGATGATCAAACATATAGATATTTTAAAGTAGAGATTATATAAAACTAATTATGATAATT